GAATATAGCCCACAAAATTTGACTATCCTGGTCGAGAGCGCTTATAACTAACGACAATTAGGAGGAAGAAAAAAGGCTAAACATTATACTTACGTTTTAGCCTCGTCTTCTTTAGGACTTCCTTCAACATCACCTGCCTCCGCATCGCTGTCCTCGTTCCAAACCATTTTCTTCTTAGCTCGCCGTTTTGCCTTCTTGCCTTTTCTATCCTCAGCTTTTTGCGGAGACGCCGCAGCAGCTGCGGCTTCCTGCTCTTCTGAAGCAAATAGAGTTCTGTTTGATGCATGTCAGGAGCCACCCAATGGTTTTTTTTTTCGAAAAAAATAGCAATGAAAATGTTGTTACAAAGGGTTCACCGATCACTGAAATGTCGCTACGGGAACCAATCGCCCATTAGAGTAATGAAGAAAGTTAGACATAGTTAATTGAATAAAAACGGTGAAAACTCAATAGCGGTACGAACCGAAAAGTACATGATCTTCTTCCTTCATGTGCTTCTTTAGCTCGGCAAGCTGTTTCCGATGTTGTTTTGAGTTCTCGTGGTTGATTTTTGCATTCCTAAATGGAGGATGACTGCTTCTCATTACGTTGTGGCCAACGTAAATGTCAAGCACTTACAAAGTCTTGAAGGATTTATCGCAGACGACGCAATACGGTAGTGCTTCTCCATCTTCGTCTTCTACTTCACTACATGTCTCATCATCGGCTAGTTGTTGAGAGAGCTCCTCCATATGTGCCCGATGAGCTGCCACAGCGTGTTCGTTCTCGTGAAAAGCCGACAGGAGCCTAAAAATGGTCACATTGTAGAGTCGACAGAAGTGCAACGGCTAGACAGTGTTAAAATCTGAAACCAATACTGTTGGAAGTAATAGGTTTGTTTTCGTACGGTGGCCCTATTATGATGATGCCGCGAACATGTTGTTTTCAGGAGTCGAAGCAATGCATGTTTTCGCTCAACCTACAGTGATGTCACATAAATTAGAACATTCCCTTCTCAGACGTTGCTGATATATGCGGAAACGTCATTTAGTATTTTCTATGACAAGAAGCATCACTACCCGCGGCCACACTCCAGGGTCAAATTCGGTATAGAGTCTCGCCCAGACCAACCAAGCCTTCCATCCTTGAAAACCCGGTCACCTGGTACCAGACTTGCCATAGACGATAAAAACACTACCTTGCACTTCAGCTGGCCCCCAAGCCCTGCCATAACGCATTAAAGTGCCACAACCCTTATCGAACCTTCTTACAGTGTGTCCCATAAATATTGCACGTTTCTTGACTTTTAACTTCTTTCAAAATGAATATATCTTCAAGAGATTATACACAGTTTTTAGACCTACACTGATATATTGAAAAAAATTATATTCATCCGATATGTCCCTCTGTGACTGTGAGAACGGCTCCGAACTGCTTTAATACGTTGCAGCCCGCGCAGGGTTTGGAAGTTGAGGCTTCGAGCGCTCGAACGTCGCGGCTGCAGCCCATATGTAATCTACGCGGTCTCTCGTGGCCGACAAGCTGCAGGTCACATGTGGGCTACATGGTTCCCAAAGTGTTTTTGGCGAGTTTTATGAAACAGTTTGTTCTTATTTAGGGAGTACATAAAAAATGAAGATGTCATGTGCAACTTTGCAGAAAGGGGTCAACTGATGGAATTGGTAACATCAAGCTGTTTAGAACACACTACAAAAAAACGTGAACCATTCTTTTGCTTGGAAGGCTTCCATCTTAGGTTCACTCATGGAAGAGCTTTGCGACGTTTTGCACATAATGTAATCAACTAATCATTAGTCACTTGGGTTCATTCGCTGTTTCTCAACAGGTTAGGGACAAGAACCTTCTCTTCCGACCCATGACGTTTGCTGTTTTGTTTGGCCTTTCTTTATAATTCAATATTGCGAGCGTGTCGAATTAAAAAGAAAGCAACAAAAAACCAACTGCTAGCTGCAGCCCACATGTGGGCTGCACAGTTGCGAAAGTGTTAAACACAACTCTACTGCAGCCCGCATGACACTGGAGTTCACTCTTCGAAACATTGCAAGGCAGAGGCTTTTTCTTATCCATGTGGACACAATGTTGAGTGTAGGCTGAGGCTCTTGATGCAGCCCATATAGATTGTCCACCATGTCGGAATCGAGGGAAAGATGGTCATTCGTTACATAATGTGAAATTGGGAAGAGTGCCTCAACAGCGCTCCTGAACAATTTTTGCCTCCTATGCAGAAGCTGGGTCCTATTGAAAAGATCATCATTCCTCTTCAAAGTGGCTAGATACCTTAGAAACAGATGGTACACCGAAAGTTCCCATAATGAACTCTCAATATCGAGTTGTATACCATTTTCAACAGGCAGTGGGGGTGGGCGATTGGTAGTTGAGACCCCTGTTCACACCATGGCAAGATTTGGCCATGCTTGTACTGAATCTTCCTTCCTCTTTCATTGGCTTCCTTAAGAGCTCACCGGAGTATCTTCGAAGATTGGAGTCTTGGCTCCGCTCCACAGTGGGAATTTCGCCGTCGAAGAAAATAGTGCCGACGTAACAGCCTTTTTCTCCCCTTGGCACCACCTCATGGCAATTTTACTCTGCGGTTCGACTGAGCACTGGCGCGTGAGCAGCTTATAATGGACTGTGAGCAGTTGTTATCTGACCACTCTCCACATGAATATGCTTGGAAACTTCAGCGTTCTAGTCACCTTTCTCGAGCCAACTCGGTGTCCGCTTCCTCATGCTTTTCCTGAGAACTAAGATGGCAAAACTACGGAACGGCTGCAACGGAGCCTACATGTACTGTTCTTCCATTCAGTACGCGGAGCGAATGAAATTCCGAAGAAGTGCGATGTTTATCACCGATGTGTGCGACCCAGATGCCTTCGAAAGGACTAGACACGCGCATCATGACATTTACGCGGTAACGGTAACTGTGAAACTTGGCACGGTTACTCTCGAAAGGTTGATAAAAGGGTCTGCCAGTCTTGGAAGAAAAACTATAGACACCCATAGCATTTAGGCTCAAAATGTGGTGCGGTATTTAGAGAAAACCCTACTTGAAAAATGAGGACTAATCCCCAGGCAAGATCATCTATGGACATCGGCAAGGAAAAACAACATCCGATGCATAGGGCACCCATGATGGGTTAGGCCTCGTCATATACAAGTTAACCCGGACCATTGTCTGATCGCACAACTGACAATAAGTGCGGGATGGGATAAGTATCGATCGCCCGACACATCCGATTGTTGATCCGATTGATCATTACGATTGAATGGTATGGTCAATGGGAATCTACCTCAAATTGGTTGTGCAATCGCACGATGGGTCCGACTAAACCGCTTGATACATCCATTAGTTCAGGAAACAGTAAACCATGAGCAAATCACGCACCGAACAATTCAAATCATCTAACTTACTGCTGGTTTCGCAGAATCTGCTGCTTGCGATTCTCTTCCTGTTTCCTTTTGGCCTCCTCTTGACGTTGTTCTAGGAGTTCCCTATACGCCTTGACGCGAGGATCACGTTTCCTAACAAAAGCGACCAACTCCTGGAATACATTGGAGTTTTGGAATAATTGAGAAGAAAAAACAAAAAGCTAGAAGCAAACTTTTCAAAGTAATTCCACGGAGCACTCACTCTAACTTGCTCATTTCGCTCCGCTTTTCCAGCTTCTCGGTATTTCTTATTCTCTGCTTCAATTTGTCGTAATTCATATCTGTTACTTGCTTGTCGCACATCATACTTATCCAGCCAAGCGAAAGATCGAGCTGTGCAAAAAGAGCTCCAGAAACCGTAAAATGGACCCGTCACCTGAAATACGAGCACTCTTTCCTTTTTTTGAGATAGTTGTCATTAATATTACAAACGATTCAACTATGGCGTATGCACCTTATCGTAGTCAGAGGAAGCGTCGCCAAAAGATGGATAATGTACAGTTGGATCCTCGATAAAATCGTAATCTTCACGAGCTAATGTATCAAAAACATTCTTGTACACCGAGTAGAAACCCTGGAACAAAAATTGTACTAAAATAACCACATACTACTTCAGCGCAGAAGCAAAAAGGAATTGAAGAACAATGACGTCATGCATTTCCACAAGGGAGAAAAAACTGTACCTTTTCTCCATCGAACCCTTTATAACAACTAGTACTGAAAAACTGGAAGAGATCCAAAGAGTCCTGTTTATAATCAGTGCCGAAACCTAGAAAGATAGCTGGTACATTAGATTTCTGGTTTGTGAACAATTCAAGGAAGTAATGGTTTAATAACAAATCGAGAAAAGTGAGAATCAAAAAATAACTTACCTCCTCTAAGAATGCTTTCTCTATGCCTATCATAAAACGCTTTTTCGTGAGGATCACTGAGCACTCATAAGCAGATTGCAATAACGCAAAATATTTCGTACATTCTTCTATTCGGTCTGGATTCTTGTCCGGATGCCATTTTAAAGCTAATTTCCTGAAAATCATGAAGAAACAGCTTAGGTTAAAACATGGAATACCGTAGTTTGCATTTTTATGATGAGTGCATCAAAGCAGAATTAAAACACGTCTCAACATATGGCACAATAGTATTTGTGGAGAAGATGGGTTTGAGGGTATAAATCGAACACCAACTAATTCAACAGCAATTTAAGCTATAGCAAGGTAATAAAAGAAATATTAGGAGATTGAAGATCTCTTCGAATCAGGTGACCCAATGTGTTGTTCGTGGCTTTGATATAAGAACGGTTGCCAAGACAGTTTTACAACGCATCTTGGAGACGAGGTGAGCTATACTCGATATCCGGGAGTTGGGGTAGGCGTGTCACCGGAAGTGACATGCACTTGATAGAAGTTGCTTGGATAAACTTTTGCCAGCATGCTTTGCTGATATCCAGCGATGTATGTTGGAAGCAGCTTATCCACATAACTTTTATCAAGTGCACGTCACTTCGTGACACCTACATTCAACATCGATATCGCCTGTATGCACCTTAGGGCGCACGCATAGTCGGTCGTCCGACAGCAACGGTCGCAACTGTCTGACTGTCTAACTGCATCTAATCGTCGAATACTCAGGCAAGTCCGACGATCGATACGCATCCAATGCTGTGCGACACTTGCAGTCGTTGCTGTCGTCCGACCGACTATGCGTGCGGCCAGACAACGAAAGCGACATGCGAGCTAATGAAAGAAGGATAGCGGCGCAGTAATTCCTCTGGCGAAATTAGCCTGATTTTTGTATAACAGGACTATTTTGATTTTGCAAAAGCGAACTTATCAAAATGAAGATAAAAGTGGCTTTCGCGTTTGTGAATGCCTTGAGCGCTCTGTGCCACAAGCAAGGTTAGCTGGAACGGACTGTTCCCTCCAACTACACTTGAGCCGGGATCGCTGTCATCGAGCACTTTCCTGATTGTCCGCTCATAACGATCGCACTTTCACAGATGAAAAAACACACTCATAAAGACGAAGGTCTCATCCAGTAAGGGGAAGGGCGTAACGGTCTGCTCTATGCTGCCTCACGCCCCCTCCTGCATCCTAGACTGTCCTACACTCCCTGTCGCACAGGTTTCTCGAAGTACGGGATCCCGTGAGCCAGGGGGAGTGAAGGCAGTCTAGGGGGGGGGGTGAGGGCAGCCACTTGACGTTGCATCACAATGCCCTCCCCCCTTACTGGATGAGACCGAAGACGATATCATCGAAAGAAATGGCCGGATAATTTGAACAAATTCAATCAATCTGGGCATATACCTGTATGATTTCTTGATTGTTTCTTCATCAGCATCCCTGGGCACTTCTAATACCTCGTAGTGGCATTTCATTTCCTCTAAAAGACGTATAACTTCGCAATAAGATATCAACTGCATGCCACAAATTGCCAACAGAGTAAACATATAAAGCTGGAATAGTAACAAGAATCACACAATCACAAGCAGGATTTCTTCGTGGCAAGATATTAATCACGAAAAGCTCCCCAATTGTTTGAAATGTTGCGCAACGTTCGGAATCAAAAAGCAGCCGTAAATTGTGGTGTCTCCCTGTACGTGATCACAGAATGTACTTCCATACAGTCTACTTTAATAATGATTAGGTAAGTTTTTTATTGTTATTTTTGCATAAAAAAAACTGAAGTACATCATAGTTATATTAGGTGCCGAACCTTTTCCTCGAGTGTTTAGCCTACGGATTCAACAGGGTTCAATGCTTTTTGGCCTTTCACCGTGGTTCAGTTCAGAAGTAGTTAAACCGATTTAGGCACTTGATAGCTCATTTTGTTTGCAATATCCTGTGTTCAATGACCACATATGTTCTTTATGAATAAACTTAAGACCCTATGTACCATGAAGTCCACTCCATATCATGATATTCACGCTATTCAAATCTTATTACTTTTTGCATATCACAACATATGCTGATGCCAGTGTTAAGTTGATCCTTCCAACATGGCTCCCCATAATATCGCTCGTTCGGGCGCATTCATAGTCAGTCGTCCGATCGTTGCTGTCGTAAAGACTGCACGGCACGTATCGATCGTCCGATTCACGAACACGTCTGACGATCGATAGGCATCCAATGCTGTGCGACGTTACGATCGTTACGATCGGACGACCGACTATGAATGCGCCATAAGTGAGCCAAAGTTGCGACGCGGCCGGGTAGCCGACAGGAGGCCCGTCGCGCGGCAACAAGGCAGAGTCAGCGGACGAGTCGCAGCGCGTACTGTAGTGATTTCGCGTCAAGTTAAATAGAATGTACCATTGTACGTCCTACATCACGCGCTGCGACTCGTCCGCTGACTCTGCCTTCTTGCCGCGCGACGGGCCTCCTGTCGGGTACGCGACGCGGCCTTGCGTTGCGGTTTTCCGCTGGAGCACGCTTTTAGCTCCTCGCGTACTGCAATCAAATGGCTACTCTTCATTGAGAATCACTAATTAATGTCTAAGTCCCTCTGCTGCGCTAACGAATCTGGTTCGCTCAAGCCTAATGAAGGGGTGAAAACAACGTATAGTTTTAATCACTGGTCACTCGTCTTTTATGCTAGCTTTCCTGTCAAGCAATGTAGGTTTACTCGTCTTCTGTGGACAATTGTTCCTTTTTCTACCGTAACTAGGTCAGGCCTCTCCATACTTTCCAAAATGCGCCACACATCCAACATCTTCCATCAAAACCTTTGAAACCTCAGGATGCCCATTTTGTTGAAGCCCATGCATCGCTGGTGCTAGTCCATTGTTGTCTTAGTGTTTTCAGCCTTTTAGGCAATTATTGTTCTGGTCCAATTTGGTCAACCTCAGGTTCGACCCTTGCTTGAGCATCTGAGTCAAAGCACGCAGCCCCGGTCGGTTTCGCTGACCGCCTCTGCGCTCTCTAGCGGGTCCCTCTCCTCTCCAAGGCTTAGTCCTAGGGCATTCACCCGTTCTCTAATCGTCTGTGCTCTAGCCATCGCGGCAGGACCATTGAGGAAAAATCAAGTAGTTAAACCAGCCCCTGCTCCAATTCTCTCTTGAAACACGTAGTCAGGAAAGGGACCGTGCAAATTGGTTGTGAACGCAAAATATTTTCTAAGTAAGGATGTTCAAAATGAAGTAGTCGAAGTCGCCCTGCCTACAGATTCTGTGAATAGAAGTCCTCCGGGTTTGAAGCCGTAGGTCGTCTTTTTTAACCGGATGTACCAGCAATGATAGGTAGGTAGGTTAGCCGGGACGAGAATAGGCCAAGTGAACAAGTCGTCCCGGCTAGCTTAGTTTCCCTATCTATGATGAGCAGCAGCTGCGTTAATGCCGTCTATAAGATGATAGCAATGATGTCGGAAAAGACGAGAAAGAACTCACATTCACGGCTTATCACTTCTTGGACGGGCCCTCCCTGCCTCATAGTATCAGACAGCTGAGGCTACATGTTAGCCTCCCCTGTCGCTGATGTCAGAGCCGATTGACTGGGATCTTAGGGTGGGTTTAGCATCATCCAGATCCCTACGATCTGCGTCCCATTTCGAGCATCTTCAGAAGCACATACCACAATTAGCTGAATGAAAGTATCAGTTCATAGGACAGGGCCAATTAGTCCACAAGTGTAAAGGTTGTACGGCTCCAAAATGACGGAGGCGCTGGGGCCTTCATTTTGCTCCTTGATTCCTTACCTCTTCTGTGGCTCCACTTCGAAGTCTAGGGCGGTGTCTATATTTCGTACCTTACCCTCATTCATCTCCCTGTCGTCTGGTCGCTCATCGCGGCGCTCTATGTTTCTCCGCTGTAAGCACAGTACTCAAAGAATAACTCCATAAGGGAGGGTCTTATTAAGAACGATTACTGTTTCAGTTTTGAGTGTAGCGCCACTCAACGCCCCCAGTTCTATTTTTAGCCCCACAAATGTTTTGCAGCCATGGGTAGTGCTTCTAAAAATAGAGGTAAAAATGTCCTTATAGGGGTAATAGAGGATATCATATGTATGCATGGTCGCCAGGGTGAAAATCGTGTAGAGGACTTGGCTGCAGCACGACGATCCCCTCTGAAATGGGGTCTTGATGGCCCCCTGATTTTATGCGATATTTATTTAAATAAGCGAGTTCCATTATATGTAGTTTAAAATGCGCAGTCACCTCTGGATCAGATTATCTGTAGCCCCGCGCCAAACCATTTGAATATCGTCACTCTTTGAAAAGCTATCATTCTTGCATCCGTAGCCTTTTAAACAGGTTGTGGTTCTTATATAGCGCTAGGTTTCCTGTGACCAAGCAGTACTGAAATTATTCTGGAAGCCCTTCATTCGGAGAGACAGAACTGCATCGAGTCAGCGTCGAGGATGCTAACATTTTCCATGAAAGTATCAGGCGTCGAGAGATGCTGTCATTTTATGCAAGTTTTTACCTACTTCGAAGGCAATATCCCTCTATTGGGGAAGAATTGAATAAGGAGACATTTGCAGAAGCGAGAAGCCGTGTGCGCTGCCAATAGTGGTCTGTTCGGCTTCTTTCCAGACTCCATTTGGGACGATTTGTCCGTAGAGGGTCCTATCGAGGACGATTTTCGGGCCACTCAGTAACTGCAAAGCTAATTCGTATGCAACTCAAGAGTGCTCTGGAAACACATTTTTCAACCATAAGCGATAAGTCAGAAACTCGCAGATCGCCATTCGGTCCGATTCCGTCTGCAGCACTAGGCATGCATCAACCTCCACTTAATGTTGAGAATCGAATGTAGGCGTGTCATGTGTTGGTTGGATGACTCTCGGCGGAAACTGTGATTTTTAGTCAAACACATTTCGTAACTCTAGTAAACTTTAAGGAACAGCTTTAGTTGCACAGGGAATTTAAATATCCTAGGTTCCTGCTTCCAAATACGTCCTTCTCATAATGCCGGAGGAGTAGAGCTACTGAAGCTGCAAATAATATTTTATTTATTCATTTATTTATTTATTTATTTACTATTGCACTCAAAGTGCGCCTAAGATAATCGTGTTTATAAATACAAAATTGACTGCTAGATAAA